TTGGTGCGGTGGGCAGCTGTGGGGCCTTGAGCCGGAGGTTCACCGATCTGCTCTCGGCTTTGAAAGCAACTGCTGCAACCTCCTAGGCCAGGCATCCTCCAGATACATTGGACATCAGGGTGAGGAAGGGTAGCTCCAGGTGTCTGGGGATAATAGGAGATGTAGTCTGTCAGATCTCCTATTAGGAGGTCCCTTCTGACTCACTCTGTCTCTAGATCTGGAAAACACCGGGTTGCGGAAGACCTCTCCACATCTGAGATTTTGCTCTGTGATGGAAAGTACCCAGGTACTGCTTGCAGATGCTGGTGCGGACCGCGGCCGAATCGGCACCACACCGAGGTTCCTTGTCCTGGGATCCCTGGAAGAATCACCAGCTCCCCCACTTCCTGCTGGTGCTACCTCCACCACCGTTAAGCACACACACGCAGATAAAGTTTCAATCTGAAGGACTCATTTAAAAAATCAACATGGCTCAAATCCACATCATGTGGTCGCCATGGACAAGAAAGCTGTTTTTTCTTTTTAAAAACCAGAACTTGGGCCCCCCAAGCCTGGCCGACTCAGGGCGCACTCCAGTGGGTGCCTCCGCACCGCCGTTGCTTCCCCATCCCGTGCCAGAGGGATGCGGCAGAAGGAGCACTTTCCATGAGTGCCGCAACTCCCGAGGGTACATTTGGGTGGCCCACAGCTGCAGGGCAGGGAATGCAGTGTCTCGCTTTGAAGCTGTGGGGAGGCAGGATGGCGTTCGAACCTCTTCCCAGCACACTTGAGCAGGACTGGCTTCAGCCTCACTCCCACCGCCCCATGATCCAACGCCCCGTTGCTGTTTCCACGATACAAGAAAAGCAGCAGTCCTACGTCCGTGCGTGAGTGAGAATGAGGCCCATTCCACCAGTCCACCCATTTCCTGCCAACTGTGCATGCAGAAGCTGCCGAGGGGCTTGGGCAGGAGCAGGTCTTGCACCCGCCCTGATGGAGGGACCCTGCGGGCAGCTGGGTTGCCGCCACGTGCGTGGAGTGCTGGACTGGATGGACCTTGGGCCTGATCCAGCCCGGCTTTTCTTGTCTTCTTATGTCCCAGCGGCCGCATGCGCCAGAATCCACAGCCACAGCCAGCTGGCCCTGGAGCGGAGCCTCTTCCCATCCACCCTTCTGTTTTTGTGCATGTTCGGAAAGCCTGATTGGCTTCCAAGCATAGCTTCCTGATTGGCCAGGAGCCCTATTTAAATTTCCTGTCTGCAAAGCCCATGGTGAGAGAACAGGGGATTTTTAAAGCTTCGGAGTTTGTGGGCTGAAGGCTTTTCAGCGGCGCCTGTTCTCCAAATGAAGGGGCTCCCAGATGCAGTCCTCAGAAGGCTATTGCTAACGGCACAGGAGAATTGTGACTTGAGCAATAGTCACAATTCTCCCACGGGTGAGAATTGCGTGTTTGCTCAGGCCCCCGCTGGTGGCAGTCCCGGGCCCCGGTTGGCCTTGGCCCTCCATGCAATCCCAGGAGGATGCCCACAGTGGCCGAATTGCTGGGGTGGCTCCCCATCAGGGCCTCCCCACTCGGTCCCAGCGATTCTCCCGCACTCGCCTGCTCCTGTTCCCATCGATTCCCATCTGCCATGCAGATTGCTCTCTTCACCACTCTCCCGCCCCGATTCCCTCCGTGACGGCCATGCTCAGTAAGTGGGGGGAAACGGGGAGCCTTCCGGGGGGTCCCAGCGCAGGACACACCTCCGCTTTGGCAGAGCCACCCGTGTTTCCATACTACCCGGGGTTCTCTCAGGAGAAGGGAAGCGCTACATGGGAGGGCCCTCCATGAGCATGCCAAGCGCATGAGAAAGCCAGCCATGTTCTGTGTCATACGATAGCAATTTCCAGGATGGGGGGGGGGGGGCGCGTCCAGCCCGCTGTGCTCGGGGATGCAGATAAGCCAGGATCCGTGTTTCTGTTTTTGTTACACGAACCACTGGGACGCGCTCATTGCTCCCCACCACTGGCCGTGCCTGGCCAAGATATGGCGATATTACGAATTGGGAAGGGGCCTCAAGGGCGGATTGTGCAAAGACCCCTCTTGGCGCCGACCTAAGAGTTGCTCCAAAATGCAGTTGGGGGCACAGTCTGTGTGGAAAGGACGGCCCTGGGGGATAAAGGTGGTGAACGTACGCAAGCGAAACCCAGTATTTCTCTGGCGAATCCATAGCGCCACCTGCAGGCGTTTCGCCATAGCGATCTTCTCCCAGGGAAAGCGCAGCGGACACCAGATTCCTCCGGCTAGTATGGACGGCAACCCTTTTTGCTCGGATGCACATCTTACAGAGTGTCTTGGAAGCCGCTGCACAGAAAGTGGGCTTAGGAATGCAGACTTCTTGTTCTGTGGAATCCAGGGCTGTCTCTACTCAGAAGTCTTGGCCTTTCTTTACCGTAATATTCACCTTCTGGAATGCTTTACATGGGAAGAGCCTTCATTTCAATTCCACGTGTATGTGTGTGCAACAGCTTTACACACACGGGCGCGCGCGCTTTGCCCAGCTCTGAAAGCTGGAACAAGACTGGGATTTTTATAACCAATTTTTAAAAGATTTTTACAAGATGTTGAAAGGGGGTGAGTTGCTTCAAAAATTGGGTAAAATCATCAATCTTAGTCTTTAAACAAACACTTCATTCAGAGTGTTTGTAGTGTGAAGGCGATTTTCCACCCTTACACTAACAGAACCTTCTCTCCCACAGCCAAGGACATTTCTAAAATTCTCTTTTCCAGTTGATTTTAAGTACATGCAGAACTGCATGCTCAGTTCCAGAAAATGTTTTAATTCGGGGAGAACAGGATCTTATGCATGAGCATAAGATGAATAATGAAGCTATGCCACACCATTTATCAGCTGTTTGTTCATGAGCAAAATGCACAGCAATCGCACCTTCTTCCTTATGGAGCAGGTTGCTGGCTGGTTCCAGACCTTCTCTCCGTAGCCATTGACCTGAACATAATGCCTACAATCACAGAATATTCACAGGCATTCGAGCAGGAAGGAGACATTGTGAATTTAGGCATCTCCTGTGAGGAGAACTGAAGAGCAGCTTGGCTGCAGGGAGAAATCTTGTTGTATTTTAAAAATAAATACAAGTCTATTGCAGCATGTGAAAGAATAATACTTTTGTTGTTGTTGTAATGTGCTGCCAAGTCAGTTCCAGAATATGGTGATCTTGTGAATGAACATCCTCCAAGATGTCCTGCCCATGACAGCCCTACTCAGTTCTTGCAAACTCCGGGATGCGGCTGCATCACGGTTGTTCTTCCTCTTCTGTATTCGACTTTCTCTAGCACGATTGTCTTCTCCAGTGAGTCCTGCATTCTCATGGCATAAGCTTGTGTAGATCACTTTTCTGAGATGGATTGCATTTCAGTACAAAGAAAACGGATTGATAGAAAACCCTTGCAACTTCTAGGATGGTTTTTTCTGTCTAAACTTGCTAATATATCCATTTTTTAGCTCTTCACACTTCTTTTTCTTCCATCTCTCCTCTCAATTCTTCTCTTTGATACTGTTTTTCATTCATAGAAAGCATCCTTCTGGATCAGACCAAGCAGCTACCCAATCGAACTCCGTTATCTACTTGTATACCGATCTGGATGTCAAAAGTAGAACAGGAACTGTTTTTAATGTCCCTTTGCTTTGCCCAGGCTTCCCTGAGTCGAATGCACTGCCACTGAGTTGATTCATTATGGTACTGCAAGTACCTGATTTTAATTTTTTTAAACAAATGCAGAAATGCTCTGAATGCAATGCATTACAATGCACTTTCATCGTTTGTTTTAAACAAGCAAATATTTTCAAAGTGGTATATAAATCTATTAAACTTGGGATTGTAATGGCTACTCTGTGAAGTTAAGAATGCAACCTCAGAGAGCAGGGAAAAGGGGCATTTTGGTGGTGGGATTGGGAAGGGACTGCAGCAACCAGGATGCACATCATCCTGATGTGTCTCCAGCCTTTTTCTTTTCCCCTCCCCATCCAAGATGCCCAAGCTAGTAAAAATACCCTCTAGTGAAAAATGCAGGGCAAGACGGTAGTGAGACAAGATTGCCTCTGCTGCTCTGCACTGGGTAACTGTGGGTTCAGGGACTCATGGGCACGGCCATAAGATTGGTCTCTGACGGGCACTGAGAGATCTAACCTGCACGAGGCTTTCCCAGTCTACCTTTAAAACTATCTTCCCATATTGGGATGGCAGATTCCATACACCAGAGCCCTGCTGAATGAAGCCCAAGAGCTTTCAAGCCCAGCAAACTGTTTCCTGCAGTGAACATGCAGCAATATAACTGATATGGAAGGATCCTCCCTTGGGAATGGATGCAACATAAGCAATCCCCTTTGGGAAGCCAAGCAAATAAGCTGTGCCATTTTGCAATTTTGGGCAGCTGGTTCTTTTTGTTACCTTTCATCTCTCCTCCACATCCCATTCACTTCACATGTCCTTTGCTACGTTTATACCCTGCTTTCTTCCCTCTTGCGAGGACCTAAGGCGGCTTACGTAGTCCTCCTGCCCGTTTAGATTCACAACAACCCTGTGAGGTAGGCTAGACCAACACGACACAGGGAGCTTCACTGCCCAGAAGATAATAGATCTCGGGGCGCCTGAGCCTCAGTCCAACACGATAACCACTCCAGCACAGAGGCTCTTTTGTGCTCCTTTCCCCTCGACGCTTTCCTGTCCTCGTTCTCTTCACTAAAGTTTCCATTTACCATTCACGAATTCCCCACTGTCCACCTTTGGCGGTGGAGCTTCCTGGGGCTTGGAGTCCATTCGTCAGCCACAAAGCCTTAGGACTTCCGCCGCCGAACTGCATTTCCCAAAATGCTTTACGCAGCAAACCGTTTGCGTAGCGCGTTGCTCCCTGGGAACCGCAGTACAGACCGCCGCGGCGCGCCAGCTGCTGAACGAGGCATGGGGCACGCCGGGACTACACTTCCCATCGAGCCTTGGGGCTGGCGCATAGAACGGAATCGGCAGCGGCGGCGGCGGTCTGGTTGAGCTCGACCGCGGCCGGCCGGACTGCGGCACGGCTCTTTCGGGAGCACCCTGGGGGATTGCCCGCCTTCTTCCTCCTCCCCTCATATCCCCGGGCGAGCCGAGGAGTTGGCGCCATGGGCGGGGAGGAGGAGATCGTGCGCATCGCCAAGCGACTCGACAAGATGGTCGCCAAGAAGAGCGCGGTGAGTGGCCGCTGCTGCGAGCCGGACAGACGGACCAACTGAAAGGTTCCCTTCGCTTCGACGCCCCGCCCGTTCCCTTCCTCGCGACAGCTCCGCCCTCCTCCTCCGTCCCTTCAGAGAGCATCTCCCCTGTGACCAAAGGCCGCGGAGGCGCTTCCGCTCCCTCCCCCACCCTCGTCGCCTTGACAACGGCGCTCCCGCGTCCCTGAAGTTTCGCCCCGCCCACTACTCGCAGTCTTTTCCTGTCCCCTCCCCCTCCAGCTTGTTTTTAAAACAAACGTTGCGTGGCCCCGCCCACAACGCTTCTGCCCTGCTCCACGCCCGCCGCTGGGGGGTAACTCCGCCCACTAGCCTCCCGCGCGCGTTGGCAGTGGGCTCCGCCCACGTGCCATGACGGTCTCCTCCTCCGCCTGTTCAGCCACGCCCCTTTACTACCGCCCAGCCCTGACCGGAGCGGCCACCTTCCCCTCCGCCGGTCCAAATTCCCGCCTCCCGGGTGTTTTCTTTCTATATTCACCTCGCAGCGTTTGTGCTCTGCCTTCCTTCCTTCCTTCCGTCAGAATTGGGCTACGAAGGCTGCAGTGCGATGCGTGCTTGGACAAAAAAGGGCGCTTTTCTCTGTCCAGGTGCATGCAGGATTGTGCCCTAGCGCGGTGAAGGTGCCGGAGCAACAGCCCTGTGGGGAGAGTTGCACCAACTGGGAGTGTTTGGCTTAGGAAGAGGCTGTTGGGGGGAGCCCGGAGAGAGGGGCATAACATCACGCCCGGCATGGCGAGGCTGGTGGAGGAGGCATTTTCTCTCTCACATAACCCTTGAATTCAGAGGGGCCACCCCATGGTGCTGAGGCATCCAGGACCTTCACACCGATCGTGGCGTGGCGCTGGCTTCTGCAAGACATGCAGGCCACCCATTTGGGTAGCCTGCACGTCTTTCAGAAGGGGCTGGCTAAGTCCACGGAGGAGACGGCCCTCTACGTCTTGATGGCTGTGCCGCCGCCACCACAAGATGCATTGCTGGCCTCCAGGATCAGAGGCGGCCTGCGAATGGTTGGGGAGCGTGGGAGGTGCCATTGCCCTCATGAGTTGCTTGTGGACTTCCTGGGGGCAGCTGGTTGGCCGCTGTGTGAACAGAATGGACCCTCGGCCTGATCCAGCAAGGTCCTTCTGATCTCATGTTCGTTTCATTTTTTTTATTATTATTATAACATTTCTATGCCGCCCCTTGCCGAAACCTCGGGGCGGCTTACAACATGATAAAATACATTGAAATACAATAGTACATAATAAATTACCATTAAATACAAAAATACAAAAAATACATTGATTTACAAATATAAAATTAAAATTATCAGTATCATGTTTTCTTCTTGCGAGGAAGTCTCTGAGGAAGTTCAGCCTGGGCACAACCAGGAAGGAGCTGGCGTTCTTTCACGGAAACTTTGTCAGGGCTGTACTGCATTGGTGGTCATGTGAGGGATTGCATGCTTCCATTGCAAAAATGATGACCCAGCCTCAGGGCAGGAATCCGCCTTCTCCCATTCTGTAGTGTGTCAGGAGCACACCCTCAGCTGACAGAATGTATTTATTACTGTGATTCATATGCTGCTTTCAGGATGCAGATCCTTCCTAGGTGACTTACAAATGTGTAAAAATGATAAAATCATAGTGAAGCTAGTAACAAGAAAAACAGCAAATCACTGGGAGACTTTCCACAGGGCAGCAGGTGGAAGAGAACCTTGGGTCAGGGAAGGTCGTGCAGGTGGAGATGGATGGCCTCATCCTTAAGAGATCTATCCTATTTCTATCTATTTTTCGATTTATATCCTGCCTTTTTCCTACAAAGGACTCAAGGCAGCTTACATCATTCTCCTCCTCCACCTTATCCCCACAACAACCACCCTGTGAGGTAGGTTGGGCTGAGAGTCTGTGACTGGCCCAAAGTCACCCAGTTGGCTCCATGGCTGAGCGGGGACTTGAACCCGGATCGCCTGAGTCCCAGTCCCATGCTCCTAACCACTACGCCACACTGCAAGTGGTGCTTGCAGTCCTTCCAGCAGGACAGTTGGTGGTGGAAAGCCCCCCTGATAAGCCGTTTGTGGGATCAGGGTTAGGCAAAGCCCTCCTGGAAGTTTTCCCAGAGAGCAGCTGATGGTAGATGACTGGGAGAGAAAGTCCAACTTTTGGTGGTCTCCAGGTGGGAGTTCCGAAACCAGAGAAAGAGTGGCTGTGGAAAAGTTGTCCTCCCGAGACATGGCTTGTGAGATTAGCCCTCCATCTTGGAGGAAAAGATAGAGGGAATCACTAAAGAACATGCAAGCCATGCTGGAGCTGACAGAAATCCCATCTGTTCCATCGTCCTGTTCGACAGTGGCCAACCAGCTGTCCGTGGGGCACCAGAAGTAGCATAAGTGCATTTGTAGCCCCCTCCTCCTCAAGCGACCAGCACCCAGAACTGAGGGGCATGCGACCTCCGGGAGTGGGTGGAAAATAGAGCGATCGTGAGAGTAGCTGGGAAGGCCCCCACCTCCTCCATGTATTTGTCCAATTCCCTCTCTAAGTTTTGTAACACACCCCTGTCATATTCTTCCTTACTTTTATTCTAAGCTGAAATCACCAAACAATGGTACCTGTTGATGATCATTTTGTTTGCCTCTTTCTGCACCTTTTCAAGCACAACAGTGTTTTCAGGTGTGGCGACCAGAACTGTACATAGCTTAGTTGCATCATGGATTTATATAAGTGAATTATATGCTCAATTCCTTTCCAAATGATCTCTGACATAGAATATATTTATTTCAGAGCAGCTGCACATTCTGAAGGCAGAATGCGGATTTTCCTTCCGGAGAAATACCTTCCCCTGTGTGGGAAGGATGTGAACTATCTCAACAATAACTGAACACAGTTTTTCCCCCTTTGTCTTGCTGTTCCTTTTTTTGCTTCAAAGGAGAGCAGCAGGACTTTTGATCGTTATTTGGCAGCAACATTCTGAATTGTTTGTTTCTAATATTGTCAGCATTTTATATTGTTCTTTATCAGATTTGATTCTGCTACAGTTGATAAAACAAAAATATAAATACAAAATAGTGTACACAATGAGTTAATTTCCCTTTAAAAAATGTTCCTTACATGTTTATTCTGCAGCTGAAAAGAATCTTTAGTCTTTTGGATTGTCTTCTTTGGGATTGATAGACTCTGGGAAATGGAGAAATTATAGAAATTTTTTCTATAATTACCATTGTCTTGACTATATTGTTGTTCAAAATGGTGACTGAAAACTCCTTAGTGAAAGCTGAAATTAATCGATATTGCAGTTTGTTTGAGATCTGGCTTGAATAGCCATGCATTTTGACCTTCCAGAAGCTGAAGAGGGACTGATCACAGGTTTATGATTGCTTAGTATTAGGCCTCCCAGTTTTGCTCTGATTGATCTCTTTTCTTGCTGGGGGGTTCTGCCAATTGATTCCCTTCCTGAGGTGAAAGCAAAACACCCTGTTTATGACAAGGAAGAGGCCAAAAGCCAGCAAGTCGGGCCTCTTTGTGGCTCTGCGTTTAATGTGTGTTTTGAGCCAGAAGCCCTTGCCTAATGGAATGGGCAGAGGAGCTACTGAACTACCTTGACAGCTTCCAGTCTGCATCTGCCTGGGTCACAGTGCGGAAAGTCGGCCTTTATCAAATGCTGATAAATAAAAGTGGGGCAGAGATGGATCCAAGAGGGCCAGGTGAATCTGACTGATTGAAAATCTTCAAAAACATGTTTAACCCTTTTCCATTCCGTGAACTGGTTGATTTTAAAAGGATCCGTGTTTTTCAGTTCATCCTGTCTGATTTATATGATACTGTGAACTAGTCTCTTTCTCCCTTGTGAGTTTTGCTGAGCACAGCCCTCTGTTTTCCCCTGCAAATGGGAATAGACAGCCAAGGGTCCATAGTGCTGACTGGCACCTGCTGCGTATCCAGACGCATGCAAAATATTGTGGTTTGGAAATGCCAGCTTGATTTGGTGGTGGTTTATCTCTAGTAATTTTCTTCTAAGCTTGCCTGATTTCCAAAGGCTGTGATGGATGGAGTTTCTGCTGCTGGGCACACAAGGAGCTCTGTAAGGAACTTCCAAGTAGTGTGTGGAATTGCCTCCTGGTAGAAAAAGTAGGAATCATTCCTTGCAGCAGTAGCAGCAGTTTGCAGCAAGAATTGCTGGTGATTCAGTGGCAGAAAAGATTTTATATATATGCAATAGGCCCGCTCTCAATTCAGTTTAAAAAATTCCGGGCCCATTGTCAGATGATATCATAGAAACAATTTGGACTCCTCCTCATTCCAGTCCGGCTTCAGACCCGGGTATGGCACTGAATCTGCCTTGGTCGCCCTGTACGATGACCTGTGCAGGGAGAAGGACAGGAGGAGTGCGTCCCTGTTGGTTCTCCTGGACCTCTCAGCGGCTTTCGATACCATCGACCATGATATCCTTCTGGATAGGCTAGCGGGATTGGGAGTTGGAGGCACTGCGTAGTGGTGGTTCCGCTCCTATCTCAACGGCCGATTTCAGAAGGTGGTGCTGGGACACTATGGCTCTGCGCCATGGCAGTTATGCCATGGAGTTCCGCAGGGGTCCATTTTGTCCCCTTTGCTATTTAACATCTACATGAAACCGCTGGGAGAGGTCATCAGGAGGTGTGGGCTGCAGAATCATCAGTACACTGATGATACCCAGCTCTACCTCTCGTTCTCCACCAATCCAGGTGAGGCAGTGGCTGTGCTGAACTGGTGCCTGGCCGAGGTAATGGGCTGGATGAGGGCCAATAAACTGAAGCTCAATCCAGACAAGACGGAGGTCCCGTTGGTTGGTGGATCGGGCTTCGGTGAGGGTGAATTGAACCTAGTCCTGAATGGGGTTGCACTCCCTCTTAGGGACAAGGTTCGCAGCTTGGGAGTGCTCCTCGACCCTGAGCTGTCTCTAGAAGCTCAGGTGACGGCGGTGGCGAGGAGTGCCTTCCTTCAGCTTCGGCTGATACATCAGCTGCGTCCCTTCCTGGAGAACGACTGCCTGGCGACAGTGACACACGCGTTGGTGACTTCCCGATTAGATTTCTGTAACGCGCTCTACGTGGGGCTGCCCTTGAAGACGGTCTGGATACTTCAATTGGTGCAGAATAGAGCTGCCAGGTTGCTGACGGGGACTGGGTGTTGTTCTCATATAACCCCAGTTCTCCATCAGCTCCACTGGCTCCCGATTGAAGTCTGGGCCCAATTCAAGGTGTTGGTTATGACCTATAAAGCCCTCAACAGCTTGGAACCTGGATATCTAAAGGAACGCTTGTGCCCATATATGCCCTCCCGCCCCTTGAGATCAGCAACGGATGCCCTTCTCCGGGAGCCCTCTGTGAATGATATTAGGAGGGTGAGTACCCGGAGGAGGGCTTTCTCTGCAGTGGCGCCCCATCTATGGAATGCGTCCCCAGAGAGGTCCGCCTGGCACCGTCATTATTTGTTTTTTGGCGCCAGGCTAAGACCTTTTTATTTAAATCTTATTTTAATTGCTAAATTACTGTATTTATTAGGATTTTAAATTAGCTGAGAATGCACCGGGGGGGGGGGGGGTTAAATGTTTTTTTTTATATATATATTTTGTGAGCCGCCCTGAGGTTTTGTTGCGATGGGGGCGGCATAGAAATGTTTTAAATAAATAAATAAATAAATAAATAAATAAATAAATAAATGCCAGTATCTGTAAATTGTAGGATTTCTTTTCTTTCCCAGGAAGGAGCAATGGATTTGCTGAAGGAGTTGAAAAGTCTGCCTATAACTTTGGATTTGCTGCAGGTAAATGAGAACGTTGGACATTTGTTGTCTTCTGTCATGTTGGCCACTGAAATCCTGCCTTTACAAATGCCTGTCAGTGTCTGATGTAGATTGTATAAGTCACTTAGTGGGTCTGTGCAGAATCCACTACAGGGATGGTGCTAAATATGCATGTATATAGTGAGGGGGGGGGGGGAGACAGAGCAAGCGAGCGCAAGGGAGAGAATATTGCTGCTAGTAATAAGAGTATTGTAATGCATGTTAGAATACTCTGCACTCTATACCACATTCTTTGGCAAGGAAACCTGTTTTGTTTATGTAATAGCACATCTGCTTTTAGTGCATAATGCGTTCTAGCTTCAATGATTTTCACAGGATTTGAGATGGAAAATAAGGATGGAAGGAAATGTGGATTCAAGTGGGGACAGAGATTAGAAATCAGAGTGGGGGATGCATAGTGTATGGCAATTCCACACCCAATTTTAATTTCTGAGCCATCAACAGACAGAGAATGAATATTTAATACATTTTCTGCGCACCTAGAAGATTGTGTGTGTGTAGATATGTACATATTTATATATATTTAAAAAGGGAAGCTTAGATTCCCGTGATATGAAATTCTGCATCCGTGTGAAATATATAAACCCATGAGTGGAATATATAGAGCTTTAGGCATCTTTGCTCCATTGCCCTCAACAGTGCCTGGAGGGCTGGTTGCGAGGTATGAAAACTCTGGAGCGCTTTGTAATGTGATTAGCCTAATCTGCTCTGTTCTTTCAGATGTGCCAGGGTGATATACTCTGGCAGCGCATCCCTCTGGGGTGTTTGGAGAATTATTCATTCTAATCATTTTATGGACCAGAATTAAGAGGCCATTGGGAAAATGGAAACATCTGATTGCTCTGAACTTAATCAGCATCTTCTCCTTCCCTGGGGAGCTGCAGGACCATGCTAAGATTGCATCACATAGCCAGATCCTCATGGTAAATGAATAGGAACGACCTTGCTGGTTCAGAGCAAAGGCCCATCTAGTGCAGTTCTTTGTTTCCCAGATGGCCACCTGGACACTGCTTAGGAAGCCCGCCTTCTCCAGCAGCAGCTTCCCCTAAGAATCCTGCTTCTGAGCATGCAAGCTTCATTCATTCTTTGCATTTCTGTACCACCTTATAGGCCAGTGGGCTCTCTGGGTGGTTTACAAATTTAAAAGCATATGACAACAATACAGTAATCGTATTTATGTAATCAAAACAGTACAACCAATATAACGAAGGTCAGTGACCTTCTGCAGTCAAGGTGATATCCTGGCCCACAACCATTTAGGGCTTCTAATCAGCACTTAGAATAGGGCCTGGATTTCAGCTGGCAGTGCAGCTGAAGAAGACGGGCCTGGTACAGCCTCTTGGGCCAGTCCTTGTTAATAGCTGTGCTGCATGGGCCAGTCCTTGTTAATAGCTGTGCCGCTCTGTTTTGACGCAGTTGGAGTTTCTGGACCGTTTTCAAAGGAAGCCCCATGTAGAGCAAGAGGTTGCCAGAGCATGGATCACTGTGGCCAAGCTCTGTGCTCAACAGCGTGGTGGAGCAGACGGAGCCCTGCGGTGCGCCATGGCGTAACTGCCGCAACTCAGAGCGTTAATCCCCCAGCACCACCTCCTGGAATCAGTCAGCCAGGCAGAAGCGAAACCACTGCAAAGTGGCCCTGCCAACTCCCAACACGGCCAGCCTATCAGGAAGGATACCATACCATGGTTGATGGTATCAAAAGCCGCTGAGAGGTCCAGGAGAATCACCACAGTCACAAGGTTTCTATATTTTACGGCCAGAAGGCACTCTCTCTGGGAATTTTTCTATCACAATACCCAGTGGCCATGAATTTCTCAATTGAAACAATTCATTGGATCAGTAAGTGTTTGTTTAGTTTGGTTGTTATGTCCTCACCCTGCTGCTTATCATTTAAATTGCATGACCCTCGGGGCTCTGGGGCTGTACAGCACCCACGTTGTATCACATCCCGGCTTTAGTTGTGAAGGTCTTTGATGTCTCAGAGCAGAGGAGAGGAAAGCACGGTCCTGTGCAGTGCTGGGGGAGAATCTGTGCTGGGACGGGCAAGGCGAGGATCATAAAGTAACACAGCATTAAAATTGCTATTCCATGAAATGAGACAAGTGCAGGCTGTCAAATAGCCCGAGGTGTGATTTTTACCTTGGGGCACCCATGTTCTAGACTTGCTTAGTTGGTCATGGGATGAACGGCTTGCTTCCTGTTGTTTTGCAGTCTACCCGCATTGGGATGTCTGTGAATGCACTCCGGAAGCAAAGCACAGATGAAGATGTGATTGCACTGGCCAAATCACTCATCAAGGCCTGGAAAAAGCTCTTAGGTGAGCATGTTGGATAGCTGCTAAGATCTGATGGGCTGAACCTGCTGGATTGGACCAAGGATATGTCTCCCCAGCTCCTTGTGTCCGTGGTGATCAGTCAGATGCCAGTGGGACATCAGAAGCAGGACATGAGTGCAGCAGTTTCTCCCTGCATTCCCTCTTTTCCCACTGAGTCTGAGCAGAGAGGGTTTGTTGGTGTGTGTCAAAAGTTGCAGTTATTATACTGGTACCTGGACATTCTGGTTTTATTTATTTATTTATCAATTTATAGCCTGCCTTTTTCTGACAAAGGGCTCAAGGCAGCTTACATCATTCTCCTCCTCCATTTTATCCCCACAACAACAACCCTGTGAGGTAGGTTGGGCTGGGGGTCTGTGACTGGCCCAAAGTCACGCAGTTGGTGCCATGGCTGAGCGGGAACTCGAACCCAGATCGTCTGAGTCCCGGTCGCAGGCTCTTCACCGCTACGCCACACTGGCTCTCGCACTGGTTGTCCTCTGAAGCAGTGGCTCCTTGAACTGCAGGCTGTAAGGCTCCTGTTGCAGGAACACAGTCTTAATGCTGACAATTACCTTGCTATAATCCCTGTTTTTAATAGCAACTATTGGTGTCTTCCGGCAGTGCTGGGGAAATCACCACTGTAGCTAGGACAGACTTTTCTTTGTGGCAGGCAGGACAGACGTGTTGATTGCCAGGGAAACGGCATGCTCTCCCTCGTTTTGCTCATACCAGCGGCTGATCTGCTGGCAGAGCCTTGTAGAATACGGCATAGGCATGCGGGTGGGGATCATGTTCCTCTGTGCCCGTGTTCGGGTCCTCTCCCTACTTCTGTGTTCATGGCAAAGACAGCTGCATCACCAGAAATGGGCTAGCTGATTCTGCACTCACACGGCCTACCGCAAAGTCACTTGTGCTGAGATTGTGCAGTTCCCAAAACCTCTTAAAACCACTTTACGTTAGACTTCCACTCTGCAATACTGCATATATGATTTTGTGAAGAATCACAGAAGCGGAGTTTGAGGTGCCAGCAGCCACTGTGACTGGCTGACGGCCCCTGGGGTCACAGGAGAAGGGATGATCCTTTGGGTCACTACTTTGAAGAGCACCACACTGTCCTAGGAGTGTTTGCTTTGACACTATATCTCACAGCTAATTTTATGTTGATTGTTCTCTTCTCCACTACCTCCTTCACCATATTCAGATGCCTCAGATGATAAGAGCGAGGAGAAGAAAAGGAACTCTTTGCCAACTTCCTCCTCAAAGGAAAGCAGCGACTCGAGAGACCAAAGGTAATGTTACCCCTTAGCCAGAGAAGGAGTCCTTGCCCCTAACTTTCCGTTCTCCCTGGGGTCCTGTGTTTTATTTCAGGAATTAACATGATTCCCTTACTCTGCCTTTTGGAATGAGAGCATGTTATCCCTGAATTGACCAGTTCAGTTTGCTTGAAGGAGAAAGTGGTTGCAAGTAGATTAATCAGGGTGTTGCCTTTTTATGTTACAGTTGTTAATCATAAATAAATGTCTTCAAAATTCAGTGGCCTTTGTGAATTTATTTTGCGCCCCCTCATTTATGATTTGATTTGCCTTCATTTCTTCTTCATTTTCTCATGCTAGTCCTCCCTTTATTAATAAAAAGTCACCTCTCATTTCATTGACTTAGTTTGTTTCATTTTTTCTTTTGCTAACCCATTCCTCCCCACTCATCACACACACATTTCTGTGCACAAGTGCATGCATACACTTTCCTCCTGGGCATCTAAAATTTTGTCCTCAAAGTGTTGTTTCATTTCCTTTGTAACATTTGTATACCACCCAATAGGTGGCGCTTTCTGGGTGGCTTACAAAACTTAAAGCCTTAAAAATGCCTTCACTTCTGACTAAAATTTTTTTAAACTGGTGAGCCTCCGGTAGACCAGGGGGCACCAAAGTCTGTCCTTCCTATGCTCAGGAGGACCAGCCAACATGAGAACAAGTCTAGGTTCACAAACCAAAGCGTGCTGCTATCAGCCGAGTACACAAATGCCCTCAAAGGAGGAGCTGCAGGAATGTGGTTGTTCTCGCTGGTTCAGCATCCCTTCTCTGCACAATTGAAGGATGCTGCAGGTGTGACGCCCATGTGAGTAGCAGCACAAGCCTTCCAGACCTGGCTTGATCCTGAGCCCAGCTCTTGCCCAGGCTGTTGCTTCGGCTGCATCAAGAGGCATAATCGTGGGAAGTTTCTCTAGCCTCTATAGGAGCAGTGCACCGTGCATGAAGCCTGCAAGCTCCCAGTTGTCCTGGTGCCATCCTTAGTCCAAATTACAGTGAACACGAATACTGTCGCACAGTGCGCATCCCGGAAGTGCGTTATGCACCTGACTTACATAAATCTGCATCTAGAAATCCCCAGTCGAAATTGGATCTGTTGGATCCTTGTTCAGCCTCACTGGGATCGCTTCCTTAAACATCTTAGAGTCAGTGTGGCGTAAGGGTTCGGGTGTTGGATGGGACTCGGTGATGCAGAAGATGAGTTTGGGCCAGTCACTGACTTGCAGCCCAACTGACCTACCTGTTGCCAGGACAAAATGGCTTCCTTTGAGGAGGAGAAAGTGGGGTATAAATGTAATAATAAATATATACAATTAATATGCAGCGAAGCTGGTAACGCAGGGCCACCTATTTACCAGCTATTCCTTAAAATCTGCTGCTGTGTTGGCTAACCGTTTGGAGAGCTGCTTGTCAGTTGCCACCTGGAAACTCGAGAAGCAGGCTCAGTGGTGTTGCCCTGATTCATGCGTGGCCAGTGCTGCGCCCTTGACATCCATCAGTCTGAATGGGAAGCATATTGGGGAACGAAAGCGAGGCCCAGGTCAGAAGGATAGGGAGCAGTGGTGGGTGAGCCGGAGGGTCGCTGGCATGGCTGGGTGTGCTCAGCCTTCGCGGTGTAGCCCTGTTTTCTTAAGGCATTGAGACATTTGGGACTGCTGCGCAGCAGATGCGTCAGCCCCTGTTGGAGCCCGCTTGGGGTTGGAACACAGGCCAGGCACCCATGAGTGTCGCAGCCTGACGCCTGCGTTCTCATGGGACTTTTCAGAACACGTCCTTTCATGGGTATTCAGCAGTCCTGGCTGGATTATCTGAAGATGGCGTAACATTGTGATGATCAGTTAGAGCTCTCAGTCAAGGGAAGCAGGAGGGTCCAGGTCAAGGGATGGCAAAAGTACTTGTGCAGCCACACTCAGGCTGGCTTTGCAGACTGTGATGGCATCCAACCCTCTGCGTAACTTGCCCGTCCTAATAAGGGTTTGTGGATGGCCAGCTTGAGGCAGGCAGTCGGTAGGAAAGGTGCCGGTCTTTTAGGCTCAGGCCTCTGTGTGAACACCAGTTCTTCGTTGTGGCCTCTGTGCATCACACATACGGGTGCTGTGCCTGCGCAGTGCCTTTGGCCGGAAGATTACAAGCTAATGGTTTATTTTGGCGGGAAAAAGCTCCGCTCCCCCTCCCCCACAGCCTATAAAGAGCGGAGCGTCCGCCATTTTGTTCAGTCTTTGCGACCGCCGTTCACTGTGCCTCGTGCTGCTTTTGACTATCACTTTGATCGTTACTTGTAGCCTGTTTTTTCTCCTTTTACTCCCAGTTGTTATCCCTGATAGTTCTTCTTAGCTCTTCTTCTTCTAAAAAAAAAAAAAAACCAAAAATATATTCTTACCCTCCGCACTGTCTCCCTTCTTCTTGCGATGGCGCAGCGAGCGGCCTTCCGCAAATGTGCAGAGTGTGGGTCGAAGATGTCACCATCTGACCCGCACGACCTATGCTTCCTCTGCTTTGGGGAGGGGCGTAGGACCGACAGGTACTCCCACTGTCCGGCCTTCTCCAAGCAGGCCAGAAAAAATCGGAAGAACCGCCTCTGGAGGCTCCTGTAGGATTGGGCTCTTATGCAGTCCGACCCACTGGTCGCTGCTCCGAAGCCTGGCCTGGCTGCGGTGGTCCTGCCCTCCCGCTCATCGGACGAAGGTGCCTCTACTTTGAGGGCCCCACCAGCTTCTCCCAAAAAGAAAAGCGAGAAGCGCAAGCACACCGATGCCGACAAATCGGCCAAAAAGGCCAGGAAAGAGAAGCCCTCTAAGCCGGCCAGAAAGGCGAAGGATCCGGACCGACCCCGACACCATGTCTCGGGTTTGACAGCAGCGTCGGTACCGGCGCCAACCACCGTACCGACCCCACCCGAGCCGGCGCTCCAGGCAGCCATGAGGGTTACCCCTCAAGGGTCTCCCCGTCATGTGGCTGACCCCCCGACCGAACCGCTTCCATCTCTCCAGCGGGGCTCGATCTCTGACGGAGAGATTCAGGACCCTCCCCCCAGGGTTAGGTCACCAACGCCTATGCCCATGGCCATACTGGAGGCAGATGTCGTCGAATCCCCGCCCAGGGCCCACCGGAGCCACTCCAGGGAGCAGCGATCCGAGCAGCGATCCGAGCGATTCAAGGACTGGCGTCGTTCCTACTACCCATCTTGGGGCGAGCCGTACTCGACTGGGTACTATCCCATGCCAAGGGATCGCTCCCCACCACGCTCTCGTGATCGCCCGCTGCCTCTGGATCCAAGGCGCATGTCCCCAGTACCCCGGGATGAAAGCAGCCGGTCCGCTTTGCCAGTGGAGTCTTCTTCTTCGACCCCTCCATACTACGGCGCGGATTCCGATGACTCAAACGTCGATTCTACCTCTCCCAACGTCGCAGTGACCTCCTAGGGCCCCGCATCATCGGACGAGTCGCACGTTTCTTTTGCGGAACTGATGTCCAGGCTCGTCCAATCCCTGGACATTGACGCTGTCCAGCAGCCAGGACCGTCTACAGATAAAATCTATGACATCCACGGGGAGCAGTCCACCTCCATCGTCCTGCCCTTGATCACCACCCTACGGCAGGCGATGACCCAGCCCTGGGACTTGCCCTCTCACCCTCAACCAACATCGCGGAGGTATGAAGCCATGTACCGGGTTCGGGAGGAGGACATACCATTCCTCCTCCGACACCCCAAGCCGAACTCGGTCGTGGTGGAGTCCTCCCAGGGAAGAGAGGCAAGGGGTCACACCGCGCCGCGAGATAAGGAGGGCCGCAAGATCGACTCCCTGGCCAGGAGGGATTATGCAGCTTCAGGCTTGGGGCTGCGTATCTCAGACTACGAGGCGACGTTGGCGAGATACCAGTATTTTATAATGCAACGCCTTCACAACGTCATCTCGGCCCTCCCAGACCAACAAGGCGAATTGGCCAGTCTTGATTAAGGAGGCGATGCACGTCGCGGTGCAACAGTTGTCCACAGCCAGGCACCATGTGGACACCAACTCGAGGTCCTTGGTCGGTGCCGTTTCTCTTTGCAGGCATGCGTGGCTGAGGAGCGCCAACTTCCCCGAAGAGACCAAGCGGCGCATCGAGGAAATGCCCTTCAATGGGTCCGGGCTTTTCCATTCAAAGACGGACCATAAACTTAAAAAACTTCATGAGTCTCGTATGACTGCCCGATGAATGGAGCTCCAGTCGCTTCTGAGGCGTAAGTGGCCATGGAACCGTCCGCCCTACAGACAGCCGTATCATCCCAGGCAACAGCCTCAGCACAGGCAACAGCAGCAGCGCCGTCGACAACAGCCCCAGCAACGCTACCAGCAGGGCCGTCGCCGATATGATGACAGGAGGCAGTGTTGACGGGACTGGCAAACCATTCCTCTACCCTATCCTATACCCACCCCTCTCTCATCTGGGGACTGGCTGCGAAGCCGACTCCCCATTTGGGAGTCCATCACATCTGATGGATGGGTATTATCTCTCATACAGCACGGCTATAGGATAGAATTCGACACCGTTCCTCCATCGAGTCCGATTCGGTTTACATCTTGCACACCGGTACTGCTCGATGAAATACAACAACTTCTTCATAAAGGAGCGATTTGTCAAATAACTCAATATGACGGGCATCACGGATTCTGTTCTAGATACTTTACCGTTCCCAAACGGGACAGTGGCCTACGTCCGATTTTGGACTTACGTGGTCTGAATCGATTCATTGTGACGAGGAAGTTTCGAATGACTACCCTCCAAAATATTTTGCCGCTGCTTAGGAAAGAGGACTGGTTCGCCTCATTGGACTTGAAGGACGCCTATTTTCATATTGCAATCCACCCCAAATATAGATGTTTCCTTCGTTTTGCTGTTGCCCCCAATTTCTACGAATTCATGGTTCTACCTTTCGGTTTGGCTACCGCTCCGAGGGTGTTTACTAAATGCATGGCCCCTGTCTGTGCTTATCTACG